TTGGTGGCTTTTTAAATCCAGCCCAAGCATTCGCACATCTTTAAAGGCAAATCAACACCTGGAGCTCCCTTCAGGAAGCACCAACATTTCCTCATTTGTAATAAAACGGCTGAACGGAAACCAAGAATTCCTCCTCTAATCTTCTCTCAAATACACACGCATTATTTTTCTAAATAAGAAACAGCACTGTGCTGTGTGGGGAACCCTGATCTGTTCATTCATCAGGCGTTTCTTGAGGAGAATGAGAAAGGACTTCTCACTGTTCTGCACTCAGTCTATAAGCATCTGATTTGAACAGCTGTAACGTCTCTTTATTAGCCATTAAAATGCCTCATCTAACACATACAGCCCCTCATAAATAAGAGCCTCAGTTCACTCTTACTCCATGATTTGTGGATCTCTCACTCTCTCTCTCTATCTCCTCTGTCTACCTCACCCTCACTTTCTCTCCTCTCTCCATCCTTTTCTTCCCCACTCTTTCCCCTCTCTCACTCGTCTGCTTTCTCTTTTTGTCTCTCTGTCTCTCTCCCTTTTTTTCACTACCCCTATTTCTCTCCCCTTTTTCTCCGACTCTGTCTTTCCTCCCCCACTCTTCTCTTTCACTCACTCCCTCACTCTCTTTCTCTCCCTCTATCCTTTCTCACCCTGGCTCTCTTTCTCTCTCCCTCCCTCCTTCCCCTCACCACCACTTTCTCTCCACTCTTTTATCCTTTTCTCTCTTTTTGTCTCTCTATCTCTCTCCCTCTTACTCTCTCTCTTTTTTACCACCCCTATTTCAGTCCATCTTTCTCTGACTCTCTATCGTCTCACCCCGCTCTTTTTTCATTCACTCCCTCACTCATTTTCTCTCCCTCTATCCTTTCTAACCCTCTCTCTCTCTCTCTCTCTCTCTCTCTCTCTCTCTCTCTCTCCCTTCCTCCTTCTTGTGGAAGAAAGAGAAGACTTTCACGGTCTTTCTCTCTTTCACTCTTTCATCCTCTATTCTTCTTTCTTTCCCTCTTTTTCTCTCTTCCTATCCCCTCCCTCTTTTCTCTCACACTCTCTATCCTTCTTTCTTTTTCTCTTATCCCTCTTTTTCTCTTCCTTTGTTCTCTCTCTCTCCTCCCTTTTTCTTTCCCCTTCCTCTCTCTCTCTTCCTTTCTCTCGCTCTCCCTTTCTCCCATTCTATCTCTCTCTTTCTTTTATTCTCTTTTCCCCTCTCTTCTGCTCTCTTTTCATCTCTCTGTCTCTTTCCCTCCTTCTTTCTCTTTCTCTCTTTTTCATTACCCTATTTTGCTCCCTCTTTCTCCCACTGTTTCTTTTCACCCCCTCTTTCATTCACTCTCTCACTGTCTGTATTTTTTTCTTTCCCTTCACCCTCTTTCTCACTCTCACTTTGTCTCCCTCCTTCTCTGTCTCTCTTCTTCTGCCCTCCTTTTCTCAATCTGTCTCAATCTCTTTCACTCACATTCATTCTCTGCTCTTCTTTCTTTTTCTTCTCTTTCTTCCACTGTCTCTTTCCCTCTCTCACTTTCTGTTTCTCTCTCACTCTAAAATGCAAAGAATCGTCAGATTGAAGGAAGCGGGTCTGGTCACTGTGGGGCATCTGTTGTTGGCCCAAAGACTGGGCATGAGGTTGGTCAGGGTTGCTGGCCAGTTGCTCCACAGGCTTCAAGAACTATTGACTGATGAAGACCAGACTCTGCTGAGGGGATGGACACTGGCAGGACGGCGAATCTGTGTCTTTGGGTCAGCCCCAAATTTACCATTTTTGGCACTCAGGGCCCTCTTTTAGCACTGGATGGACTGAAAGACATGAAGTTTGACTGTTTTCATGCCAAGGCCTTGTACAGGGGGTGTGTGAAGGTGCTAAACCAGGACAATCTGTCTGGCCGAGTGGACACTCCCTGGAGGGCACAATTTGGCCTTGACAGTTAGGTCAAACCAGCATGGAGAACACTTTACAAACCACTATTGACCATGTAATGTAAAAGATTGAAAGCGTTGTTTGATATTTTAACTTCACTTTTTACTTGTTTTGATGACTGTTTTACTACTCAAGTCTTCATTTTGGGTTTTCCATACTGTCAGAAGAAGAAGAAAAAGTGTCATTTGATCAATTTTATTTTGGGTCAAGCCAAGATGGCAATTTATTTTAGCTGAAAGAAAAAAATGGACTCATGACTGTGACGTTTGTTTGCTCTTTAAAAGGTTGACACAGGCCAGGATCAAGGTGGATTTTATGTTTTATGATGCTGTCAGGGTGTGTTTTTTAGTTTTACTTTTGTTATCTTATTTTTTTTTAATGTGGCTTTGCTGTTACCTTTGACCCAATGGTGTGAATAAAGTTTGATTAAGACTCAACTCTCTCGCTCACTTTCATTCCCTACTGTTCTTTCTTTTTCTCCTTTTCTCTCTTCCTTTCTCTCCCCTCCCTGTACCTCTCTCTCTCACAATCCATCCTTCTTTCTTGCTCTTTTTCTCCTTCTCCATTTCCCTCTCCCCTCTGTTATTACCCTTCCTCTTTTTCTCTCTCTCTTCCATTCTCTCACTCTCCCTTTCTCCTATTCTATCTCTCTCTTTCTTTTATTCTCTCTTTTCTCCTCTCTCTTTTCATCACTCTCTTTCCCCCTCTTTCTCTTTCTTTTAATCTCTCTCTCCTGCTGTCTTTCTCTGTCTGTCTCTCCCTCTCTCTCTCTCTCTCTCTGTCTCTTTCTCTGTCTGTCTCTCCCTCTCCCTCCTGTTCTCCCTCTCTCTCGGTCTGTCTCTCCCTCTCCCTTCTCTCTCTCTTTCTCTGTCCGTCTCTCCCTCTCCCTCCTGTTCTCTCTCTCTCTTTCTCCCTCTTTCTCTCTCTTTCTCTGTCTGTCTCTCCCTCTCCCTCCTGTTGTCTCTCTCTCTCTCTCTCTCTCTCTCTCTCTCTTTCTCTCTGGCAGGTGCAGAGAGGCATGACCCACTGCAGCGGAATAAGATCAGTCCTCAGGCTGTTGCGGATGGAGGGAGAGTTCCATCTCCCCACAGCGATAGGGCACAGGAGACGCAGGGCAAAAATTGCTGCCAAATAACGGCCCAGGATTACATCTTCAATTGCCGGCCATGGCTCCTGGAGATATCTCGCTCCCACTCGTTGGCTAAGCAGGTCGCCGCTCTCCACAATAGAGGAGGATGAATCCTTATTTAGATCAGCAGTGAGTCCAGACTGCAGACGCTGAGCTGTTTGAGGCCTCAGAAAAAGACTGCTCTTTCTGAAAGTGCTCTGAAAGACCACAGGACATTTTCTAACAGAAGGTTTGAGGTGTGTGAGGAGGTTCCTCAGTGATTCTGGAACAGTAGGGACCACAGCACTGCTTAATCCAGTTAAGCACTTTACTCTACCTACTCTACTAGCTCCTAAGCAGATAGAAGACATACATGTTTTGATATTTTACCTGGTATAATAGACCAGATCCAGCTATTCAGCTAATTAACCTCGTCAGAACTAACATCCCGCCAGCAGTACACTCAGACTTCAGCTTTGTCTCGGCCCCCATTGAGACAAGTGCACGCCCACGTTAGCCATAGCAAAATATATCAGTGTGTGGAATTGGAGATATCTGCATATTTCTGTGTTTTCTATCACCATGTAAATACAGCATCTTGCCGCATTTAATTGTTGGATGCACTGTGATAGAGTAAGATTGAGCACATTAACACATTCAGAGTGCAGTTCAGATCAGTAAGCGTTTACTGTGATTGCTAATTTGTTTCATCAGAGAAAGGTCAATAGGTCAAAGTGTTTTCTTGTTTAAAAAGTTGGCTTTAGACAAACAAAATAAAACAAAACTAGAAATTTTTGGCTTTGTTATGGAATGCACTGATCTGGAATAACTGAATAACTGATCATTTGTTTTTTTTGGTAGTCCAATAACTGGCCCACACTCACAACTTTCATCCAGCCCAAATATTGCCATGGAATGACGGCATCAGGGTGCCGGGAATGCATTTAAGCCAAATTTGATTTAAATTAGGATATTTGGTCATTCCTAGTATTAAGCCAGATTGTATTGGACGACCTCATTTTTTTCAGTTAACAAAAAATTGTTGTATAAGCCAACATACTGCCACATCTCTACCAAAAGTGACCCAGATCTATTTGAATTGAGGGCTCCAATAAGAGCAAAGGGAGAGCATGAGAGAGCCAAAATTGAACTTTTGTGGGTTCTACGTATTTCCTTAAACAAAATTTGAATGAGCACATTTAATGAACACATTCACATGAGGTTACCAACTTCATTTGCATTGTGTTCAAAATTAGATTCCTCCCCTGGAAGAACTGAAAACCCACCATGACCAGAATTATATGCATTAGTCTGGCAAACTGAAGAGTAATTTGGTTTCACTTCCTGCGGGACCCACCAAACCTGCCTGCTGACAAGTGAATCCATTGTTTTACTACCTAAATCCTATATTTTAATAATTAACTGAGAAAAGGTAGGCTAATAGACATTTTACTGATACAGATAATCCTGCCTAGTAACACTTGTGAAAAGACAGCAGGGGTAAACCTCACAAAAACATACTGTGAAAATAGGATTCATCAATACATAGTCCACTTTATAGTCACAATTTCCACCAGGGGACCCACAAGACCTCTGCCTCAATTTCAACCCTGCAAGAGCCAAATGAGTGTGTTTAAATGTGGGCCACTTTTGGCTCACTCACGGTTTGCTAGTGCCGACAGCAGGCCAGCAGTGCCATATGTTTGCCAGGAATGGCCCACATGCTATCTGGGTCAGTGAATAATATATCTATAAATCTATGAATCTAAGACATAAAATACGTTATAGAGTGAGGAACTGGAGTTGAGGCCCAATTCCTTAGGATTTTAAAAAGTTAACAAGCCCTTCCTAAGCCCAGGCCATACACTAAAATGTGAAGAGAGGTAGTTATCCAGGACCCAGGCTAGAACACACTTGGCTAAAAGTCTGCAGCAGGCCGGATGAGAGTGGAAATGTCAGGGCTGGTGGGGGAGCTGCAGGACTCACCAGGATGGTGGTGATGATGAGCGTAGTGTTGAAGAGCGTGTCTGTCACATTGAGTGAGGGAAGCTTTCTCTCCATGGACAGCCCCTGTTCTGAGTGCCACTGGCCAATCTGCAGGTGGAACACACATGCACACAGAAATAGTGTGAGAAAGAGTGCGAGAGAGAGCGAGAGAGAGAGAGAAAGAGAGAAAGACAGAGAGAGAGAAAGAGAGAGAGAGGAAGAGAGAAAGAAAGAGAGAGGTAGGGAGAGAGAGAGAGAGAGAGAGAGAGAGAGAGGGTTATATAAGCCTCTGAGCAGCGTCTCTCAGAACATCCACTATTCAAAACTAAACATGAAAAAAGGACTGTCATTAACTCCCCCAGCAGGTTTCTGCACAGAAACACGCAAAAGAGCAGAGCACCTCGGAAGGATCCGTGTCAGGGCGGGCGTTCAATCAGAAGCACAACAGAAAGCTTTCATTAACTCAAATCACACCCCTATCCTCCGAGGCGAGCGGATGTCCTCATTATCATTCCGGCTCCACTGGCTCCAGTCCGCCAGGCCTCACACTGTCTTTTTACAGGTGGCTAAAAACCCCACCCAGCACACATGGTGCTCCTCAATCACCCATTATTTTTTATTTTTCAGCGTAATTACAGACTGGCATGGTTCAGCAGGCCTCCTGCTTGATGTCTTTTGCGGAGTTACTGCTCAATTTATCTTCTCCAACAAATCGATCCCCAGCGTGTGCTCCAAACCAAAACGGCGGAGAAGGGCAGGCAAACAACAACACTGCAGCTCAGTCATACACTCTTCATAGAGGAAAAATATGCTACAAAAGATGCACAAAATAGTGACGGCACATCCGCTAGACCCCCGCATTCACCAACATTTCTGCTGCTTTGTTTCATAAGCTGCTCCACAGCATATGCCAACGTAGAGGTGTTGTTTGTCCTAATACTTTGTTTTGCCACATTTAACGTCATTCATCAAAGTGGCTAAATTAGTTATGAAAACGTTTGGCCTAAATCAGGCCAGATTTCATTACAGGGCCCACAATGAGATGTAGCGTTTATCCTGACAGCCACTGAATATTTTATATGAAATAAGACATAAACTCATCAAACAGCCCACAACACATCAGCATACTATGATAAAAGACTGAAATATACACAAGCCTATACTATTACACATTTACTGAGACTGTGGGATAAAAATAAAAGATAAAAAAAAAAAATGAAAAAATGACAAAATAAAACACTTTAATTAGATGTAATACATTTAGATCGTATGTGCATTATGAACACATTAACACATTTTCTAAACATTTTTGAACATTACAAATCTTATTTAATGTTGTACTGATCCATGTTGTCAGCTACCTTAGAAACTCTGTTCTTAGAAAGTCTAATCACCGTAACTTTTGGCATTACAATCACTTGTGTGTCACCAGAAAATAACCAGTCAGGAGCCTAAAACAGAGCGCAGGGCAGCACAGTGGTGCAGTGGGTAGTGCTTTCACCTCACAGCAAGAAGGGCCTGGGTTTGATTTCCTTTCTGAGTGGAGAAGTCTAAAGACATGCAGTTGGGCGAACCTCAGATGCTAACTTGCACCTAGGTGTGAGTATGTGTGAATGTGTCTGTCTGGCCTGTGATTGACTGGAGACCTGTCCAGGGTGTTTCCTGCCTTCCATCCAAACGACTGTTGGGATAGGCTCCAGCACCCCCTGCAACCCAGGAGGATAAGCGGCTGAGTGAAAGCTTTGAGCACATCGACAATGCATTGCTTCTGTCATCATTCACTTGACAACAACTGCACTTTTTGCTTGACACGTGAGACTGGTATAATCACACAGAGTGCCCTGGACATGCCAGTGGAGCAGTGCATTGTAGAAACAGTGGTTCTGACCAAGGTTATTATAGTTAAGGAAAACTATTACTAAAATGAAACTAGCAGTGAAAAAGGTGCTTGTTAGCTCTAATAGAAATACAACAGGCAAACTAAATTAAACCTAATATGTCCACTGCAAAACTAATTTCAACAAAATAGAATTTTAGAGTTTAGAAGTAGAACTCTTCTGAGTTTGGCCATCCTTGAGGAAAGCTGGAGAAGAGCTGAGCTCATCCTACTGTTGTTTTAATTTTATTCTACTCTTATCAGATACCTACTATCACAGTGTTCATCATAATAAGAAAAACTGAAACTAAATAAACACTAAAAACTATTTGTTCTCAGAAAAAACAGATTAGAATTATTAATGCACCTTTAAAACTAAGTGAAGCTAAACTGAAATCAAAAACAAAAAAAAAAAGAAAATATCAAACCTATAATAACCCTGGTTTGCACCTGTTAACTGTGCTCTCACGGAAAAAAAAAAAACATAGCCTGAACCAGGTTCCCTGCAACCCACTTGTCCCCACACTGTGATCCACCAGTGAGGTCATGACCCACTACTGGCCTACAACCCACCACTGGCCTAAATTATCTGAGTTTTCTTTTCCAAACTATTGTTAAGAGCACATACTGAAAATGTGCTAGTTTAATCAAAGATTTGAGATACTAATATAACAACATTATAAAAATGGATGTGCAGCTACATTATTCTCAAGGTAGCACTTATGTCAGTTCTTCCATATGTTTTGAAGTTTTTTTTAAACAAAATAGTGAGATCTAAATTGCTCCCTGTTTGATATATTTAGCTATTATAAACCAACAATAAAAATATTAATTAAAAACATACTGAAAAGCTCTAGACGTCCCAAACTTTTAATGGGCACTGTAAAAATAAACTTCATTTTCTATAGACAGACTGGTTTATTTAGCTGGGTGGTGACACAACATGGAGAAACAGAGGCACATTTCCATATCCTGCTATTTTCATAATCTAGAGGTGTCAGCTGAAGGGACGAGTGCTGTGTGCATGACAGCCACAGTGCCAAAGACGGCTCTTGATTACGTCCATCATAAAGTCAGGCGGTGTGGCTGTGGGTGGTGACGACTTAGCAAGCAGAAATGTCAGGTGCTGGAGCAACAGGTAGGCTTCTGATGGCGTGGAGATGACCAGTGCAGCACACACTGTAATTTTCTTTTCCCTGGAATGTCACGGTGCCACTGTAGCCAACAAAAAAGGAACTAAAGAAAAAAAAACAATGAGGTTTTAACCCTTTTTTGGCGCGCTGCCTTTGCAGGTTTCCGCTAATGCTGTTCAGACTGTGACGTGTGACAGTTAAACAAGGGCCTCTATAGGAAAGTTGGCTTTCTTTCCTTTATCTAAGAACTTATAATGTTCACAGCAAAACGAGAGAGAGAGAGAGAGAGAGAGAGAGGGCAAAGACAGAAAGATGGAGTGGAGAAAGAGCATATGGAAAGAGAGTGGCAGATTATGAAAAGAAAGAAAGAAGGGAAGGAGGGAGAGGAAGAGAGAGAGAAAGGGGAGTGAAAGATGAAGAGAGGGAGAGAGATAAAAGAGGACTGGAATAAAGAGACGGAGAGAGAGGGGGTAAAAGAAAAAGAGGGAGGAGTAAGGGAGACAAGAAAGCAGAAAGTAAGAATTCAAGAAATAAGAAAAGAATAAAATGGATGGAGAAAGAGGAAAAGACATAGACAGAAGTGAGGAGAGAGAATGTCTAGTAAGAGGGATGGAGAGAGAAAAAAGAACTGCAGAAAGAAGGAAAGAGAGACAGAGAATGAATAAAGGGAGACAAGATAGAGGAGAGAAAGAGTATTTTAGAAAGTAGTCTGAAAGAGACTGTTAGAGAGAAAGAGAGAGGGGGATAAGAGAGAGTGAATGGAGAGAGGAATGAGGAGAAAAAAGAACTGAAGGAATAAGGAATGAGAGAAAAAGAGAGAGAGGAGTGAAAGGGAGAGGGCGAGAGAGGAGTGAAAGAGAGAGGGAGAAGAGAGAAAGAAGTGAAAGAAAAAGGGAAAGAGAGAAAGTGGATTGAAAGAAAAAGAGGGAGATAGATGAAGAGGAGGGAAAAAGAAAGAGAAAGAGGAGGGAAAGAAAGAGGAGAGAGAGAAAGAGGAGTGAAAGAAAAAGTGGGCGAGAGATAAAGAGAATTGAAATAGGAGAGAAAAACAGGATTAAAAGAAAGAGAGAGGGGGAGTAAGGAGAGTGAATGGACAGAGGAATAAGACAGAAAAAATGTAGATAGAAGAAGAGAGAGACAAAGATAGACAGAACGGGGAGAGAGAACATGAGAGAGAGTGAACGGAGAGAGGAATAAGAGAGAAAAAGAACTGTGGAAAGAGAGAGAGAGCGAGAGAGAGAGTGAGAGAGAGCGAGAGAGAGAAAGAGAGACAGACAGAATGTGTGTATCCCAGAATCAAAGATTTCCTTTGAGAATGTGATCTAAAGACCAGGCCTTCCATTCCTTTCCTTCCCCTCCTCAGCCTGAAAAAGCCACCCTGCTCTAGCGAATGACATCCAAACAGCAGATCACCCAGAGCTGCGCTGCTGCCTGCAGGGATGCAGGAGATGCACAGCACTGAGGAACATGGAGCTATGCAATCAGCCACTGCAATCAGACTGCTCCAGAGGAGGTGCTGTGGGGGTGGGTGAGGGGCTGAAGAAAAGGTGAGATATTAGAGGGGAGGGTGTGAAAGTGGGGAGAGTGCGGACAGAAAAGGATAGAGCAACACAGAGAGAAAGAGAGAGAAAGTTAACCATTACAAGTTGTAGTGATCACTGGTGATAGAAGTATGTTGTAGTTGTCTCTCTCATAGCTCACTGAATTCTAAACTGCTAATCGATCCCATATTAGTGTTTGTATGTATAGTATTTTTAGTGTGAATTGAACTTGTTTAAAAGTTATTGCTGTGAATACAATCTTGTTTTGCAGAAAGAAGAAAATGTTTCTCATTTTTGATTCTGAAACTGGGGAAAAAGTGCCAACTTTTTGCACAAATGGAAATGGAAGATTTTTGCTTCAAACATGCAGTCAGTAGTTGGACAGTTTATTATTTTCATTATTACTTATTTAAGTTCCAATTTCATGATGAAGTGCACTTGTGCTATATTGGAAAGCTGCTGCTACCCCATTAATAAAAAAATCATAGTATAATTATGCATGATTCATTGGGCTAAATAGCCAACTGCCTCTTACTTTCTATGTAACAATGTCAAAGT